TCTTATTAATTAAGATTGAATTGTTAATTCTCGCGCGAACAATTTATTATATCGCAGATTTTGAATTTTCAACCAGTTTTTACAATTGTAATTTATGACGGTTACTATATTATATATACGTAAAATAATAATAAATTATCAAATGTTAGTAAAACAGTCGAATAATAATTCTTATATTTAAAATCTGTATTATTTTTCTGGAATTAACGATTTAATAAAAGTATTGGACTATTGGCAGCAGATTAACATGTCAGCAAGAGATCAATCTTTGCTCGATCTTCCAATTAAAATTTATTCTTATATAAAGCATGTTAATTTTCTATATCTTCGTAAAGTAGTAACATATGTATAAGTTTGAAAATTTTCCGCGTAATATAATCCGACATGAAGACTTATAAATGAGAATTTATTGTACATGTGTGTGTGTGTATGAATGTGTATAAACTTCACATCAGCAAGTTTACATTAATTTGAAAGATTACTTTGGTATTTCTTTACACGACATATGATCTTAAATCACGTATCCATTAAAGTAAATCAAATTAACAATGTACTAATATCAATAATAATCTATATTAAAATTGTAAAATATATTAAGTTTATTTTAAAAAAACACTCCTTTTTTTCTTTTATCCGCTTCTATTTTATTTACAATTTATATTTCAATAAATACATTTATAAAATTTTAAATAAAGTATTCTAAGTATCTTGTAATTTAAAACCAGCAAGATTTGACCGACAGCGTCTATCTTACCATCCACAAGTTGCATTTGCAATGTAATCATTTAGACAGCTTATCACCGGTTGGGAGTAACACAAATACAAACCAGTAATAATGCTTCAAATAAAGTTTCAAATAGAGTTTCAAATAAATAAAAAAAATAATGTTTAAAATTGTAACAATTGTCTCTCTCTCTCTCTCTCTCTCTCTCTCTCTCTCTCTCTCTCTCTCACTCATTTGCAGAGTTAATTTTCAAAAAAATTTAAATAATTGTGCATGTCAGTATTCTTACTCAATATTATAATTGTTTTATTCAACATCTTTTCAACATCTTTTGTTAAGCACATAAAAATTATACTTTAATATATGTGTAATTTATGTGTAATATATGTGTAATTTGTCAATAGATATGCATTTACTTAAAACATGATTTTTAATGCTTAAAGAATATGATTTTTTATCATTAAAACAATAAGCTTATAAACAATTTATATATTAATTGTTTAATTACTTTTCTCGAAAAAATTATCAAAATTTTAATTTTAGTTTCAAACTTTTAAACTTTTTAAAAGTGTAATAAAACAGAAGTAAAATAAAATTGACATAACATTTTTTTTGTTAAGGAAAGGAAGGATTTTTAGTTAAAAAAAAAAATATTTTAATAAGAAAAAAAATTAAATTAAAAAGGAAAGTCATTTCATATTAATGTCCTGCTCAATCATAGCGAATCAATATTACGTTTTAAAAGTCAATATCTAGTAGAAGATATGCTCTTTCTTTTAAAAATATCTTATACTATAAATGAATATATTTTTATCATATCTATAGATCTTTATATGCTGATAAGAAATAATTTAGCAATCTTCTACGCACAAGTAATTACTTAATTGACAAACGTTGTATCAATTCAGAAGCTATACTACTCGAGACATAATTTTTGCGCATATTTAACATTAAGCAATGACGTTGCATTGTAAATATATCTCCGAATTACATAAAAGTATACTATGTTTTTTTCTTATTACGTGCAGTCTATACAAAATAACAATAATATCACTCGCAATATGTAAAAAAAATATTGACATCTGTATGATGTAGTAAATCATAGTGTATCCCGTTTTATAATATTTTTATGCAAAGGGTGATATTTCATTTGTGCGTTTTTGTCGCACGACAAATTTTTCAAGTCTGTTGATTGGCTATGGGATAAAAACCCAAGGATCTCTCTGTTCTGAACACATTTATTGTACAAAAATACACAAATGAAATAGCACCCTAATGCTTTCCGATTAGAGGAAGTTGGTCCGAGAAACAAGATGCACGTGTCCTCATACGGCTCCGATTCGTAATAGTACACGTGTTCACATTTATACATGGACTTACCAATTTCACCATCGACGGATACGTCGGCACCGAAGCGTTTTCCCAAGAAAATACTACCATCTTCCAAAAGAAGATAACTATCGTTTATGTCATTAGACCCGGTAGACGCGTTGCTAGACATTTTGAATTTTTCCACGCACGTGTTGCTGACACACTGCGTGGATGTGAGCCGGTAGCACGCTTTTAGACCATCGAGAGTTAGGTCTTCTCCTACAAAGCGACATGTACGCTGTTAATGTATTAGTAAATGTGTATTGTACGACCAATTGGCGAGCAACGTTCCCGCTTTGTTGCGTGGAAGCTGCCAGGCAGGTCAAGTGGTGAGGATTGCTGCTATATCATTGGAGGCTTGAATGGTTGAGTATCGAACGTTTTATATACCGTTATATTGGCGGGAAGATTTCAAATCGATCTAAAATTCTTGCTACTTCCAATTCTAATTTATAATTTTAGCATAAAAGTTTGTAAACAATTACGGAAAGTAATTAATTTGTTTAATGTAATGAAATAATCTTTATGCACAATCGCAAAATATTAAGCAATTAGAAATGTATTATATTAAATATATCAATTAAAAATTGAAAAAGGTTCCAAAGATTAAATCAATAAAGAAATATAATGCCAATGAGAGCCGACACGTGTAATAAAATATAATATATATGTCAATCACCAATTATAGATATTTCGATCACAAGATTCGGCCCTCTTCAGCATGCCAATAACATTTTTCGAAGTCAATTTAAATCGTTGTGTAAAGATAGAACAAATACAGTTAATGAATCATCATTAAGCTGTTGTCTAAATTTAGAACTTTATAGTTGTTTGTTATATTTGACTGAATATCCAAACAAGAATTTCATCATTTAGCTAAAATTATGTTAATAATTGAAATTTTTTGCAATGCTATTCATAGTCAATGTATTAAAATTAATTATTTTATCAATTAGAAAAACCTTACTTTGTACTCAGTGATGATCCGTTATAAATTCGATGTAATTATAACCACATCTTGAGAGCGTGTGAGAGGCTGTTCCGTATTCGCATTGTTTATAAATATAAATGTTAAAAGGAATAAATACCAACATAAAATTGACGATATAAAATTATAATTTATCAGAAAAACCGACTAAATAAATTACCAACATAAATCAAATAATCACTAAATTAGAAATCAACGATACAAATTTTATAGCTTATAAAACAAGGAAATATCATTTTTTATTCTTAATTAAGTTATTGTATAACGGGTTCAACATTTCCGTGTCATTTTGTAAATTTAGTCTATTTTTTTGCGTTTTTATATTGCTTTCAAAATTTTATTAAATTCTTGTTCTTCATCACAAATCTTAATATCTTAATATAATTTCAATCAAAATCGTGATTGTGCTCCATTATATTCTGTGATTATTGAATGTTGCATGTTCCTCTTTATGTGATTTCGATGTTCATTAATTCTTGTTTTTAAAAATCGTTTTGTTTGGCCTACATAGGATGCATCACAATTTTTACAATTAATTTTATAAACAATTAATTTTATATTAGAATGTAATGGTGAAAATAATTTATCCTTAAAGTGCTCTTATAAAAGTATTAAGTTTATTAAGTCCTATATAAGCCAAACGTACCGTTCTATTATTTTTAAAAAATCTCTTAAATTTCTTCGCTATTGATGGTACATAGGGAATAGTAAAAAATGTAATTAAATTGTTAGCATTATTCTTTTGTTGTGTATTATTGTTGAGTTGTTCAAATTTATTGTGTAACCTTTTTTTAATGCTTTCAAAAATTAAGGCATAATCGTTATCAAGTAAGATATTGATAATGAAATGAAAGTTTTTCTCATGAAAAGTAAGATGCCATAATAATAATACTCTGTCTAATCTCATAATTGTCTCGGATCCCATTTTATCTCGGACACGAAAAGAAGTTTAGATATCTTTCAGAGAACGTTTGTCATACTAATCGTATATTAAATCGTATATTAACAGACGACAATGAAGTTTTTAAATTTGGACAACAGCTTAACGATGATTCATTAAATATATTCGTTCTATCTTTACACAACGATATAAATTGACTCCGAAAAATGTTATTGGTACACTGAAGAGGATCAAATCTTGTGATTGAAACGTCTATAATTGGTGATTGACATATATGATACAGATATTATATTTCATTACACACGTGTCGCCTCTCATTGGCATTATATTTCTTTATTGATTAAGTATATGTGTATGTAGAAATACACATTTTGCTGAGAAAGAAACAATCATGTAACACAACTAAATATATTAATTTAAAAAAATATCATTATTAATATTCAATATAATTGTATTTATATAATAATAATAATAATAATAATAAATATAAAAAAAAATAATAATAAATGCGCGAGCGTGGCATAGCAGACAGCGTACAGATTTGCGATATCAAAGATCTCAGGTTCGATCTCCGGTAGAACCGAAAAATTTTCGTATATAGACTCGTATAACTCCTCTCGGTAGGCAATAACTACCGAGAGCATCTTTGCCAAGAGCATTTTTCTAATAAAAATCGTTGTTCTGAATCGACGTTAAAAAGTATATCCCATATGACTGTGTACAACCAACATGCACACCACAGATAGCGAATGTATGAGAGAAGTCAATCATGTTCGGCTACGAGCAATAATACTAAGAAGGAGGATAAAAATAAAACTCTAAATTTTTCAATAAAAGTATTACTTGTAATTCAAAATAGTGAAGATTTAATCTGAAAATGATAAATATGATTATATATATAAAAATTATGTAATAATTTATATTTTATAAGTAAACAATTATTAGTCTAAATAATCTCTAATAAAAATAAAATAATTTGAGAGAAGAAATATAGTACATACACATATCATACAAAATTATGCTGCTATTCTTTGATATTCCCAATAATTTTTGTTTATCACATTTTTATTATAATGTATTCGATCGGCGATTAGTGTGTCTCGTGCGTAATAAAATTCCATCATTTCAGGTGCTAGTTTGTATGCTACGCTGGAAAAACACAAAAAAAAACACTATCTTAATTTTATTAGTAATAAATATTAGGTGTAGGAAAAAGTTCGTGGCGTTTTTCCCATTAGATGGCATTAAAAAACGCCACGAACTTTTTCCCACACCTAATATATTGCTTATAAACAGCCAGATTTTATATATTCGTTACAAATTATTCAGCTGAAACTTACACATGATCCGGCATTGTATGAACATTATCGTTTTGTAATATTTCATTATACTGGCGATTCAAATCGTCCCAGTCAGCCGGTTGGTTTTGATGACAAAGGTAAGTTCGAATTTTACAGTACAACGGCTCTCTCTCGTATATAAGTTGACAAGCCGGTCTTTCCAGTTTTTTCATCAATCCCTCTATTCTCACCTAAATCATTATTTCTCGAATTTTAAGCACTTTCTATTCTAACAACAAACCTAACAACGTTAGATGTATTTCTTACATACATTGTCACAAATATTTTCATTTTATATTTTCACTTATTAGAAAAAGTACAGAAATTATAAAATCTCTAAATATGGAACATATTAAAGATTGAGTAAATAAATTTGTATAAGTATATATTTAAAATTTAGTTCATGGATTACTCTAAAGCTAGGTACTTGCCTGTCGCGTGATATGCTGTTGTTTATCGTTCTTGTAATCCCACAAAAAGCACATAGCAGCATATAAATTACAATTCTATAAAAAATGAAAGTAAAACTAAAATCTTCATTACTCGAAAAACTTAAGCATTAATTAAAAATGCGAATTAAATTGCTTTAATATTATTGGATTATGTCGCTTTTCCGGCTTTCTTGATTAATTTGATTTTTTTTTTAAATTTATTTTTTAATATTTAAAAAAATTATTATTTTGAAATAACTTTTTTTATAAATTTCCACTAAAGTTTATTTGAAACGCTAAAGAAATAATTTGGAAAGGAAATCAAATTTTACTTTTTCTAATAAATATTTTAAGATTAATATTTATTATTATTAGAGGAGCACGAGCATGGTATGACAGACACATTGATCTATCATGCCAGAAATCCCGAATTCGATCCCGGTAGGAATCAAAATATTTACGCTTGTATTTCCTTTCAAAATTCCGCCATTCGGAACTGGCGAATTAAAATTATGAGTCTCATATGCTTGTGACAAGTAGAACAACAAGTCATGATAACGTCAAAATAATATTAAAATGAATCGGAAATTATTGAAAAATGACTTTTAATGATCATTTTAGAGTTATTTTGACATCATTTTGATATCATAATGATTTGTTCTGCTTAGGTAAATAATTAACGTGCACATGAAAGAGATAAACACAGCTCAGAGGCCTAACATAAGAAGAAGAAAAAGAAGAAGATTAATATTTACCATGTCTTTGACTTTTTGGCTGCGTGCGTCTGTCATAATGACAAAACCGTTATCATCGAATTCTCGTAAAATCAGATTTCTCGAACTGACTTTCAAATTTCTGAGACATAGAAAAAGTTTACATTTTTTTATTAGATAGAGTACATTTCTAGGCTACTTACAGTGAAGAGACAGTTGCTAGACAACAGGTGTTTACCAATCCAAATTGGAATTTTATCGCTTCATCGCGCCACATTCTAAAAAGATCGACGGGATTGTCAACAGGATTGATTCGTGCGAGACCCACAATGTCAGTCATTTCCTTTGTAAAATATGTGTGAATTAGTTCAACAAAGCGTTGCAAACGATGAAAAATATTCTTACATTTCTGTTGAAAGATATTCATTTTTTAATAAATTTATTTATTTTTAACTAGATAGGCAATTATCTATTTTAAATAAATAAGCAATTATCTCATTTTAAATGCATAAGCAGTTTAAATAAGCAGTTAGATAAGCAATTATCTTACTTCAAATAGGTAATAAGCAATTTGCTTGATTACATAATGACAAGATTACAAAATGTACTGATTTCTACACATGACTCTGAAAGACAATTTTAATAATGAAATAATTTTGCATAAATGTTTACATAATTTTTATAAATAAGGCTATTCTAAATAACATTTACAAGGAAAGAATGATTTTGCTAATGTATCTAAAATTTAGATGGAAGCAGATATGAAAATAATTTTATTAGACCATCAAAATAGTTACATGGTGTTCAAACTGTGCAATTGCTAGACTATCAAACTTATTTACAGCACTATAATTAACCTTTAAATGATCAACATAATTATTTTGATGATCCAACAAAATTGTTTTTAAATTTGTGTATGTAGTTAAATTTTTAGACATTTTAGCAAAATCGTGTTTTTTGTGTGTTTTATATATTGGGTCGTCCGGAAAGTTCGTGTCGATTTTGAAAGAAAATTGAAACACAGAAGATTTAAATTTTTAATTTCATTTATTAAATTTAATTCTTTTGCGGCACAAACTTTCCGGATCCAATATATATATATATATATATATATACATAAAATTAATACACAATTTATAAATATTTAAATTAAGGATTTAATTTGATTTTGTAATCTCAATAATTAATTGATATTGTTATATCATGTATATTTGTGTAAGACCCTTGAACTAAATAATAACGAATACCTGTTACTCAATGCTTGATAGTATTCAATTTTATATGTGACTTGTACGTTATTTTTCTCTTGCAGCAAAGAAGCAGCGATATCTTCCTTGAATTTTATTTATTTAATTATTTAATTAATTATTTAAAATATTTACCATCGAAGAGACGAATAGATCCTGTGTCACGTTTCTAGTAAATGTGCAATAGTCGCTTCGACAACCACACTACTACTATATTTCTTATCGATTTCCGTCTTTTGCTGTTATCTCCCACCTACTGTTCGTATGCTTCTGCGCAAAGTACACTTCAGTGAAAGTGCCAACACGTTATATGTATCCGATCGTCATCATAAAATTAAATTCTGTGTTAATATACATCAACTGAAAAACTTTTTCACCTTTTCATAGCATCAAGAGGAAAAAAATGTTATTTCAAACATAACAAATTACTATTTTAAGAAACTTTAATAAGTAAACGATCTTACAAAGTAGATGGATAAACATTGAAATAATGATATAAACCTAGAAGATAACATACGAAGCAACTATGTATATGCATGATAGAATAAATGTAAAGAGAAAAATAAGTTAAAAAATTATGCCACGGTAACAGGTTTTTTTTATATCCTAGACATAAAGAAGATATTAAATATTTACAAGAGTGCGATTGCACTTTTCGCTGATTATTAACAGGACACATCGAACTTAATTATGTATTGATAACAGCAACATATATTTGTGTAAGGCGGACGTGATTAAGTCGTTATATCGGCGCATAGTAACAATTGTAATCGCTTGTAACATAATTCAGAAATTTCTATCACAATTTCGATATCAGTCCCTTATTTTAATACAATGGTCATTTCTTTCCATTTTTAGGATCCGTCATGTGTGCGTCGAGCATGCGTCTTGTTCGCAGTGTAACATTTATCAAATATTTAACTCGCAAATAAATTTCTTAACCAATGGTAGCTTTGATCCAATCGATATGAGACGAAATTTTATCATATAATCGAGGTCTTTCGATGCCGTCCTTCGAACAAGCTATCCTCCAACTACCGATGCCTGTCAGTATCCATTTTCGATCCTCTGCTTGAAGACACAGCATTGAACTGCCGGCGACTTCTTCTTCCTGTTGAAATTAAAATGATAAATGTTACTTCGTTTGATTAATCAATTCCGTTTATTGCTTAGAATTTATTTATTGAGATATAATGAAATAAACTTGATCTAAATATAAAAGAATAAAAGCAACAGAAAGTGGTTTAATAGAATAAAAGGCAATAAAAGGCTTATGGTGAAATGTTTTTAGCTTACATTACAATCATCCGTGGAATATGCTTGCTCGGTGCAGACACTGTTCACTGAAGGGATGCTGATATTCTCGCATTTCTCCATTGCACTATGTTTGAGTTGTACTCTTTGCAATACATCGCCTATTAGGAAAGAAAGGAAAAGAGAAATATTATATATATATTTTTTTTTCAAGCCTCTTTATAGTTTATTTTTTAATTACTAAAACTAAAAAAATAGGATTATACATATTACATATATGTAGTAAAAAGAAATCCATTATTTTTTCATTCAATTTCATGCAAAAATAATGGATTTCTTTTTACTATACCTAATATTTGATGTAAGCATTGTATATATAGAATACTTACATCAATACAAATATGTAGAAGAGAAAAGATGAAAGAAGAGAGAGAGAGAGAATATAAATTATGTTCTTTTATCTAATATAGTGTTTTAATCAAATTGTTAATATATACATATATATTGTTAATATAGATATATATTAATGTATTTCTCTTTAATATAAATATTTTATTAATAGAAAATATATACTTTAAGTACAGTAATGTAATATTAAGTAAACTTTTTTTAATAATTAAAATTATTCTTTAATATTCAATAGCGTTTTAAAATAAAAAAATATTCCAATTTTAAAAAATAGACTTTCTAAATTTTGAAAGGCAATTATGAATCATTTGTGTACATACGATGCAATGATTGTGTACATACGATTTCTCGCCCAGCCAAGAGTGTTGCATTGCGATGTGTTACTCGGTGGATCCTCGCTGGAGGGCAGACAAACCGGTCTTACGAAGTCCGAAAAGGTCGTCACCGGTCTATCCAATTTTACCAGAACGGTCGTGCCCTCCACCGGTGATTTGATCATACCGACAATTCTGCGTTCTTGTTCCCAGGGTGATGTGCTTGAAAGTCGTACCACACCGAGTCGAGCCGACCATTCCGCTTTCGGTTGACTATAAAAAGTGAACACCATTGAAATTAAGAACAGCATTTATGTGTAATGTAATACATTAAAAATGATAACTACATTTTTTACTTCATAATTTTACAATTACAATATTAATTATAATATTAGATATATATGATTCTATACAGCATATATAATTTCTAAAAACATTCGTAGAAATTTAAAAAATGTACGAAGAAATGTACGAAATATTCACAGAACGTTCATAAAAATTCTATAAATGTTAAGTGCTTAATGTAGAATTAAGCACATAACATTTATAGAATTTTCTTCAATAAAAGAATTTTCTGAATACATTATATATACTCGAAAAAGTTCGATTATATTAATTGGAATTCTGGTTAAACATCAAATGGTTGAATTAATTATAATTCTAATTGAGATAACCAAAGTTCTGATTGATATGATCAGAGTCTACTGATTTGTTATTCAATCTGAAATTTTTCTCAATGTGCTTTTTATAAAACTTACCCCTGGAAACAGTATGCAGTTGTAAGTAACCAATTATCTGCTACGAGAGTAGCATCGCAAACATGAACTCCCTCCTTGAAGAGTGCAACATGCCAAGGCCAGTCGCCAGGTTCTGCCATCTTATTGAGACCATTAGTACCACCGTTAATACGTAGAGGTTGTATTCCGCATTCTGATTTTCAAAAATCGAAATCAAAACATAAATATAAATGAGCAAGATTAAAATATAAACAGAAATATATAATAATCAGGATATAAGATGAGCGCATATCAAAAATGATAATAAAAGTAATAATTTCAATTTTAAATTATAATAATAATTATTAACAATAAATTAGAAAAAGTTTAGAATAATATGCATAATTGTGCCAAAGCGCTCATCAAAAAGTTTATTATAGTTGCTTTCCATTTACATAAAAACTCAGATAATTTTCATTTGTAACGTCATATTATAACTCAGTTAAATGCACCTGCTTTTTTATTTTGACATGTGAGATTCATCTCAATTTTTACTTATAATTTACAAAAGCTTTACTTATAATCTGCACTTGAAACAGTGTGCTTCATTGAGTCTTGTTAAAATAATAAATAACTGTAAGATTAAGATTAATGAGAGTCAGCGCGGAAATGGACATAAATGCGAATGGAAATGCGCATATTAATTCATATAAAATAATTCATAATAATAAATGATGTACAGTTTTATTACAAATTCTTAAATGTTTCCACTTTCTTTGGAGTCATTTTCAGCAAAGTTACACGTATTCACGCTCAATATTGGTTAAACGATCCATAATGAATCATTCTCAGGTGCCTAAAACTGTAGCGGATTCTCAAACAGACGTCAATCATGTCATAAAACTTTGGCAAATATAAATTCATTAAATAATAAATTAATCATACTGCGAGCTTAATTAATTTACAACAGACGATTCGAAGTCTTAAATAGTTTATGAGTCTTGTTAGTTTACATTAAAAGTGAAATTATAAACCTATGTCGTTATGCGATCATTTTGTCTCTAAAGTAAGCAAGTAGTAATGTCATTATCTGAGTATAAAATACTTACATAATTTTTAGACTCGGTATCACTTTGTATGAAAATAGAAAGCAACTTATGTAACGAATAAGTAGAGGATTCTACTTCGTACCGAGATCAGAACAGCGGACGTATAGAACTTCTTTGCTTGGGCAAGGAGCCCGGACAAAAGTAATTTCCGGTGCTGAAGGATCTTCCATATACACGTATGGGACATCCTCTTCGTCATCAATCCTTACTTCAACGGAAGCGACACCACTATATTGAAGAGTTGCAAAAAACAATTCATAAATTATGAAATTCTTTTGTAATCGTGCAAAATGTAATTATATATTAGATTAGTCAAAAAGTAACTTTATTTTTTTAACTTAAAATTATATATATATATATATACACAATATCTTCATTAAAAATGAAAATTCTTTTAAAACCTTTTTTTAATTTAAACTGCTACTCTTCTACTGTTAATTTTCATTTTATATTACAAAAAGAATACATTTATACGAAGAGATACTTGCGTGTATGTAAGTAAGGTGCACAATGAGGTTGCTGCTGTTTGGAGAACATTATCCATTTCCGTTTCTGGTAAAGTAGCGTTCAAATTCGCGGTACAAAGTTTACCAATAATACCTTTCTCATTGAATACAACGTAGCCCTCTTTATTGTATTTTGCCATGTGCGGTGTGCTCCAGGATTGTGATCTTAATTCGTGGACACTCGATGCTAAGAATACTGCAAAATATAAAAATAAAGAACATTTATTTTGATTTAGTCAACCTCACTTCTTTATTAAAAATTAATTAATACTTTTATTGAACACTTTTAAGCGCAATCCTTCATTTATCTGTATTACTTATCATGTTACTTACAACAGTCTTTCTCGTCGCTGCCGTTTGGACAGTCCGCCTCACCATCGCATCGCTTCGTATGTGGAACACAGGTTCTTCCTACTCCGCAATGCATGTAACCATCCCGGCAGTAGGCGCAGTTCTTTTCATCAGAAAGATCCGGGCAATCAATCACGCCGTCGCAAATCCTCGAAGATAAAGCTTTCGACTGAAGTGCTTGCACGCATCCTACATTGATATTCGTATTAATTAATTAGCTTATTTTCTAAATTCTTTGAAATGAAATCTCACTATAAAGAGTAAAAATCGAGACAGTCTTGAAAAAGAGTATTTTCAATTTTCAATCTTTAAGAGTAAGATTTTCACTCTTCAGAATGAGATTTATTCTAAAAATTTTAGAGAATATCAAATATTGTACTTTTCTTGTAACTTGATTAAAGAGAGATTATATTAGATGTTACTTTGTTTTAATTAATCGTACCTGGCTTTGGCCTGCAACTGCTAGGACCGATATACTCCGGAAAGTTGGAGCAATCCAAAGCGCGTTTTATCTTCTCAGGAAGACGACTGCCGCACCCATTCCAGAACTCCCTGCAGAAGCTCCTGCAAGGCAGTTCCAG